CGAAAGCGGTGTGCGACCACTGCTGTCCTTCGAGTCGGGGTCGACGCCGTCCCTTTTGAGTAGCAACTCAACTATCGCCGCATCGCCTGTCAGCACCGCGTCATGGAGAGACTCCTCAGTCGATATTGCCTTAATGTGCAGTAGTCAGTAGGCGGACATGTATTTTGGATATAGATCAAGGTGATAGGTTACACACATGATAGATGGAGCTCATCGTAATCCAGAATGTTAAATATTATTACCCCGGATTGTCGAATGCACATGGAGAAACCCTGTTGTCAACATGATGTACATCCTGTTTGACGGCCTCGATCCTCCGCGTAAGTGCCTAATTGTCGTAGTGCCAAGACGCCTATGCAAACACTAGCCCTATCCTGGCTAGATACTTAGCTCCACATCAACCTGCCTCGTCACGGAGCGGCTAACGTATTGCCGACTGCCAAGCCATTGCGGAGATGACCATCCAAGTGTGAGCACGTGATGCGTAGGTCAGGGCGAAAAGTGTTGGAGGGATTCAACGGGATCAATTCGACTACCTATTCTACGGTCGGGATAAGCCCCAATTTATACTGTATTCTCGGGTAATTACTTGGCAGTCTCACAGTAGGTTTCAGGCTACGGCACCATCTCCATTCATCCCTAACAAAAAGTCCGTCCTTTTTGAGACAAGCCGTCGGGTTCGTGCATCAGCAATTCACACAGCTATCTAGACTTGAAAGCTATCTTTTCGATCGATATATGCACACGTTATTAAGGACATTTATTCTGCTATCATTCTTGTCAGCCCGCTACCTCAAAATTAGAGCAAGGTAGTTTGCTTACAATTAGGATTTTCAGTCTTTTTTCAACTTTTCCCACAATCGATCTAACCCTTTTACCCCCTCCACCTCATTTTTTCCACCCAACTCCAGCCGTGATTTGGGGAATGAGCATTGGTATTCTAGGATTTTAACCTGGATTGGCATAGATTCAACTTAATTCTCTCATTTAAAGTACGGCATTTCTAATAGCCGTTACCCTTACCTCTCCGCTTCCAATAGCTGTGGCTCTCGCGCCAAGACCACCACCAAAACCGTCCTCCGTTGTCAGCCTTCTGCTTCCCTGTTCCTGCATCCTGTGTCTTCGATCATGACAGCGGCTTCGTGGAAACGGGAGACGGTCGGCTGGCTTCGGTGCTTTGACCTCTAGAGGTCAAGTACCCTGAATCCTGTGTCCGCGATGACGACAGCAGCTTCATGGAAACGGGGTGCATGATTCTGATATCTGCCTTAGGCCTCTCAAAAAACCGCATTCTGTGTCTTTAATCTAGATAGCGGCTTCATAGAAATGGGCTCTGCCCTGTGGCCTAGAGGTCATGTAATCTCAAGGGCAAACGAAGTATAAAAGACCCGCGCACTCTTAACAACTTCATCGGCTTTACTGCGCTTATACAACAATCTACATTACAAAAACCTCAAAAGGAAGGACTAAGTGCGACAAACAACATGTCAGATACCTTAGTATCAGATACTGAAGCTGACGATCGGGCTGGTCTCAAGGTAGTGGCGAGACGTAAGAGGCTAGGAGGTAATAGTATTATTATTTACATACCAGCCTGCGCTAATAGTGCATAGAGAGCCCTATCCGGGATGGGAAATTACTACTAAAGAAGCAATGCCTGCCGCCACATATTAGTGGCCCTGACAATTTGTCCCTATTACCTACTGAATTAAAGACATAAGTTTTTTTTTTTTTTTTTTTTTCGAAATTTCAGACCGAAAAACGCTTTTGAATCTTTCTCAAGTATCTAAGGTGTTTAGGGCTGTCTTTAATAGGAGAAAGAAGGTGTTTTTCCACTCTGCCTACGCTAAAGAATTTAGAAGGGGAGAGCTTACATATCACGATGGAGCTGACGCTATCACCGAACATATAAAAGGAGATCCAAAAGTGGCTCTAATGCTTCTTGAAGCTACTTGGAAAGGCACCTTATATGTAGAAGGTTCAGTACAGAAAACTTGGTTCTTCATGGAACACCTTCGCCACAGATTAGGTGCTCAAGACTATGACACATTGCTTTTGTCTCTACACACTATATACGACCACGTTGTTCTGGAAATATCATGGGCGGCCTGGGCGGGTGCGATTATGGCACTCGAATGCTTAGAAGATGGCTCTGATAAAGTTGTTATCACTGGCATAAGGATGGAACTATGGATCCTAGATCAATTTGCTTCAAGACAGCGAGAAATAATACGACAAGGCGTGTTAGAAGGCCAGGAGTACAACGTGGGGTACGTATTAGGGGCGTTAAAAAGCTACCATGAAATACAGCGGCGTCGTGAGGGAAGAGGCATCTCGAATGGAACCATCATGAAAGGAAGAAGAAGCACACTAACAACCTAGCTGAAGTGCTTAAGGCTATACTCCATCTTCACGTCCAGGAATCTCTATGGGTCAGGGGCTACAAAGTAGTAGCAGAGTTGATGCTCCTCGAGGACGAAGGCCGCCCTAGCCGCCATGCCGATTTTCATAGCGGGGTGCAGTGCATATGCGATCCCTCGACATGTCGCCATACCGCAGATGCCAACGACTTATTCCGTGTACTTGAAGAGATCTGCACTAATCTCATTTCAGAGGGTCAGTAGGTCGAAGCTTGTAACGCAATAAGTGTATTCGAGGGTATGCCACCATACTATAAACACATTGCTACAGAACGACTAGAAAGGGCTTGAAGTATATGGCATGATAAGTGGCCTGATGATCGGGCCCATTGGGAGTCGGACGACGCAGACCTCTAACGTGATGTGATGAGACTATATCTACCTGCTAGAAACAGTTTAGAACAAAATAGATATTAGTCCTCATTGCTCTGATAAGTCAACCATCAATCCGACCATTGATCCGCGATCTTAGGAAATCCCTCCTCCTCGAATTGCCTCTGAACCCGATTTCTCTAATCAACTTTTGATCCTTGGCCGTCATCTGACGATCCGCGGGTGTCAGTTGGGTACAGGTCACATGCTCGGAAATATGTGAGACATTATAAGATGAGTATATATTCATTCAGTCTAGCGCCTAGAGTCTGAGTTCTCTCAGGGGAACTCGGCGAATAGTTACAGATAGATCAGTAGATAATACAATACCTTTGATGCTTCCGATTAGACTGCTACTGCTGGACGTCGCCCCTTTCTGGTTCGTTGAGCGTAGCACCACCCATACAACAGTCGAGAGGCCCGAGGCAGACATCACAATCGACCAACCGTTTCGCGTTTCCAGGAAGCCGCTGTCGTGATCGAATACACAGGCTCGAGGCAGATTTCGGAAATCGACCAACCATTCCCCGTTTCCATGAAGCCGTCGTCGTAATCAAAGACACAGGATGCGGCCTTTTGTGAGGCCCCAGGCAGATTCAGAAATCGACCAACATTTTCGCGTTTTTAAGCGTTCTTAGGCCGCTTCGGCGGTCGTCGAAGGTGGAGATGGACGTGCCCAGTGGCAGTGAAAGTAAAAGCAGCAATGGCCTAAGAGCGGGAACACGGAAGCGGAAGGCTGACAACAGGGGACGGTTTTGGTGGTGGTCTTGGCAGCAAAAGCGATGGCAGCTCACAGAGAATTAGGCATCTCTGCCAGAGATGGTCGCTGAATGAGACGACTTTGAAGTTCCTGTTTATGGAAACTTGATAACCAGTTGCTGTATCGTGAGAGTGGTTCTAAGGCCAATGCCGCTTTTATCTAAAAACACCACACTAAATCACGGAAACGGTAAATCGGCTGTTCAGAGGTTGATTGTCTAGAGGTACGGAGGCTCCGTACTGCATCCACAATATACAGGGGTAGATGCCTTTAGACGCAGAGTAAAGCGCAGACATTGGCCGATGCACCTTCAACATTGGGGCAAGGAGCTGGACTCTCCGAACCAATTATTAGGCTTGAATCACGCGTCCCCATGTCTAGATCCAAATCAATTCTAGGCAACCGAGCGCTAAAGTGTCGCTGCTTTTCCCAGACTTCAGAAAGGAGAAATCAGGAAATGGTAAACCGGCATTAGGGGGCCCAAAGTCGAGCGGCATCGATGGATTAATACCACTGCTTATAGTTAGTGCTATTCACAAGCAATCTATATAATGTCTTAAGGCTAGTTCTCTCCGGCAACGTACTTTGAGAGTGCTCTTGATTCCGCGAGAAGAGCGTTAGCGGCGTTTGTCGACATTCCGAGCGAAAAGGCGCTGCTGCGCACAAATGCGCCGGCAGGCGGGAGGTGAAACTAGCGGGCGGTATTTGTGCTTGGGGGTTTAGTTTTGGTGAGCATAGGAGGGAATGGTTGTGGTGACAGGTGGATGATATTGTGGATGGAAGACCGCGAACTGAGCGATGGCAATAGGAAGGAATGGGTGGTTTATATTGTTCAATTGTTTAGAGTACGTACGTACTGCAGGGGGTTCTCGGTGAGCCAGTTGGGGTAGTTCCAGGCGTAAGTACCTACCAACGCGAACCACTACCTCTGTACGTGGCGGAGTGGAGAGAGCCAAATCGCGGGACAGCGGTTACAGACATCGAAAGAAACACTCCAATTTAAACAGTATCCCAAGAGGTGTTCTAGGCATAAATAACGTCCGTCCCTGAGTGGCGAAAACCCCACCGTGCCGAAAAAAAAGGTAGGTACTTTGACTTTAGGCATCTCAAATTCTACACATTTATTGATATCTCTTACATTTTTGCATGAAACGTATTCTACAGCTACTCGTAAGCACCCTAGACCACTCCTTTAAGAAAATTATGTTTGCGTTGCCACTATTGCGACTGATTTGCAGAGGGTTTGCATTTGTTACGAAACAGACTTCCCCCACCATAGCTCCACCACTAAGCTCTTATTATTCCCAAAACGTATAAGAGGGTTGTACCCGAGCTCTTAAACCCTCACAGCCAAGCGGGAGATCGTCATCAGCCATGTGGTGGTAGTGCGGGGCAAATTCATGTATGGTTGCCATGGAAATTAATACCTCAAGCCAAAGCGACTAGTGGTTTTTCGGTTAGTGTATATTGACCCCCACGTCTGAGATGTGAACTCGCTTATGTCATTATGTGGCAAGGCTGCGTGGCTCTGTTTTACCCACGTGATAAATCGCTTCACAAAAGAGATCAAGGTTACCGTAGAGACCTCCAATAATCCGAAGCTGGCGGGCTCCCGGATCAATAACGCAACACAACGCCGCAACTCATCACTAACCGAGCAATGAATGATGTGAAGAGATTCTCAGCTTTGAAGCCTACTGTCCCTCCATCTGCTGATGGGACACCGCCAGATAGGCAGATTCCATTTCCTTTGACACCTCCAGCAACCAGTGAATCGCAACAGTCAACGTCTGATCCTCAGTGCTGCGACGCTGGTCTGGGTGATCCTTAGCTAGAGTAGCCTCTCTGGTCTCGACCACGTGCTCTAGCTCGGCTCCCTCTTTCACCTGTCCGTTGGCGTGATGCAATTGCAAGTGCGTGCTGCGATTTCAGCCGGCTTGGGTGATCCTTAGCCAGAGTAGCCTTTCTGATTTTAACCACCTGCTGTAGTAGCTTGACTGCCTCTTTCACCTGTCCGTTCGATTGATAGGCAATCGCAAGTGCTTGCTGCGAATCAAGCTGGTTTGGGTGATCCTTAGCTAGAGTAGCCTCTCCAATCTCAACCACCTGCTGTAGTAGCTTGACTGCCTCTTTCACCTGTCCGTTTGATTGATAGGCAACTGCAAGTGCTTGCTGCGAAGCAAGCTGGTTTGGGTGATCCTTAGCTAGAGTAGCCTCTCCAATCTCAACCACCTGCTGTAGCAGCTTGGCTGCCTCTTTCACCTGTCCGTTCGCCTGATAAGCACCTGCAAGTGCGTGCTGTGACGCTAGGCGGTCTGGGTGATCCTCAGCTAGAGTAGCCTCTTCGATCTTAACCACCTGCTTTAGTAGCTTGATTGCCTCTTTTACCTGTCCGTTTGCCTGATAAGCAATTGCAAGTGTGTGCTGTGACGCTAGTCGGTCTGGGTCATCCTTAGCTAGAGTAGCCTCTCCAATGTCAACCACCTGTTGTAGTAGCTTGACTGCCTCTTTCACTTGTCCATTGGCCTGATAAGCAATTGCAAGTGCGCGCTGCGACGCTAGCCGGTCTAGATGATTCTCGGCTAGAGTAGCCTTTCTGATCTTGACCACCTGCTGTAGTAGCTTGACTGCCTCTTTCACCTGTCCGTTTGCCTGATAAGCTTCTGCAAGTACGTGCTGCGATGCCAGCCGGTCTGGGTCATCCTTAGCCAGAGTAGCCTCTTCGACCTCAACCATCTGCTCTAACAGCTTGACTGCCTTCTTATAATGTCCTAGATTTACCAAGCTCCTTGCTTGGATGTTATATAATGGCAGAAACTCTTTTGATAGTTCATCGGGCTTTTTTCCAAGTTGAACAAATATATCTTTTAATAGGCCGTCAAGTTTAGAGTCCTGCCGCATGTCTAGCAGGATCCAGCCACATTCAAGAAGAATTGGAACAACTATAGGTTCAGACCCAAGTGAGACTTCCCTATTATTCCTGATGTCCACAAAAGTCTGGACATGTGGTAGTAGTCGCCTCTCTTGTGTCCGCCATTGAGTATTGAATCGGGAAAGCGCAAGCACACACCCAGTAGATATCCAAGTTATGCCTTGCTTCTCTAAGTCCTGACGGTCCTTGGCCCAAGCATGTATTAAAGGGTGCATTGATAATCCGGGCGAGCCATCTAAATTGTGCTGGGTAACCAGAGAAAGTGATGCTAATAAATCTCTGGCCTTAGTGAGGCGGTAAGAATCCCATTCGTCATCATCTGCCATTACAAAGGCAGGTAATTGTAAAACGTGACTTGTAGTCACATCTATACCACATTCCTCTATACGATTAGTGTGGAGAACTTTTCTACATCCCTCCCATGTATTTTGAAAGAGTTGGAGAGGGAGGATGCTAGAGTCGAGCATTGAAAGAATTCCGAGTAATTGCAGAGCGTCACTTGCAGCCTCGCTCTTGGACTGCTTTAACACATATGCCGATGCCTCGAAGGTCGCATAAACATCGCCATACGTCGACCGTGCTTGTTTTGGCCGGAACTCTAGCAGTCGCTTTCGCTGCCGTCGATATTCATTTGGGTATTCGTGTAGTTTGCAGTGGCCTCTTGCAATATACGCGCCAGCCTGGATTAGCGCGAGAGTATGTGATCCTAGTAGGTGGAGAATTTCTGTAGCTTGACTAGCGTATAACGACCATGAATCTTGAGGAAGGTTAGCTGCTTTAAATAAAAGCTCTTGAGAATCTTGGTCTTTAAGAGCCTTTATAACCTCAGCCCCTACTGTATTATACTGACTACATTCAGAATTTCGAGATGTTATAATAATAGCACCGTGAGTCCCAGATGGAAGGTAGACCTGATAGTCAAAATCTGGGGTGTCAGCGTTGTCGAGAATAAGGAGCCAGTTTCGCTCAGCTTTTGCAAGAGCTCGAAGAGCACTAGGAACATCTTTGACCGCGGATCCAAGAGTTTCTGCAATAGTGATAAAGCCATCTGTAGCAGTGGAAAGCATGTCAACGTTGACCCAGAATATCCCCCAGAATCTGCTCTTGTAAGCTAGGACAGCAACACCAGAGGCAAGATTAGAACATACTCCTTCCGCATCAGGTTCGCAACTTGCAGACAGATTTCGCTCTTTCCTTGTCCTCCTAGCCCTGTAATAACGAATATCTTCCGTTTGTCAGTAGGAGGAGTATTGATAGTGGACAAGGCCTTCTTCATCCGATCCAGTAGCTCGATACGCCCTGTGAATAGATCATTGACAGGACGGGGCACTATCCAATGTACATTTCCAAAGATTGTAGCGCCACTCCCTAAAGTAATGAGTTAGCAGGTATTTCCTCATGAATAATAATTCAAAGTTTACCACGCCATACCTGAGTGTTGTCGAATGGTGTATTTCTACTCAACTTTAGTAAAGATAGGCCAATATAGTATCATCTAGCTCACACTTATCAAGGCGGCAAACGAAGGATCAGTTTTAACTGTAGACTATCAGCCTAATGGTTCATTAGAATTGCTACGAATAGTCCTCATTATACACACTCTGCTTTAGCTTCATGTTCTGGATACAATCTCGCACCTGAAACTTCTGTGCTGTGTGAGTTAGATACCCTCCTGTCGCTGATTCTATCGCGCCCTTCTTCTTGTACTCGTCAAGCCCAATGGTCTGCAGACCCTGATCAACATTAAAACGAAAGTATCGGCTTTCGTCAAAATGCTTCGCCCACCTGGCTATAAATTTCTTCTCTGTATTCTCCGTCTCGGTCGCGATATCCACCACAGTCTGGCCGAGAAACTTAAATATGCCATCTTCGAATGCCGTCTTGCCGGGGTTCCCCGTCCCAATTGATATAAAACACTTGACTAGAGGCTTCAAATCTCCAGTTTCCGAACACCAGATGTTTGACGCCTCTCCCTCAACTTCGTCCACTGGATTATTTGCACCAAGGCCGCCATCAGCGAACGCACGATCCCCAATGCTGACGGGATCAAAGAATGTTGTAGCAGCGGATGTTGCAAGAGCAGCCTGGCATATCGTCGCATGAATATTCGGCTCGTCAATAAGGCTATAGCTTCGGAGACGGACAATGTCCTTCGTGTCGCGGTCGGCAGTACACACAAAGCTGATATCGTTAGAACTGCATCTTCTTGTTTTGGTAGAGCACTCACGTTCTACATCCACGCTCAGTCCCATCATTGAACAAGTCTGTCTCGGATACACCACTCTGTGCTACCGCCTTTCGGATCGCACTTTCCAGTTTGGCCGAGTCGAACCGCGGCTTTATTTTACCCTTTATGTTAACTGGGACCTGACTTATTTTCTCACTGAAAATGGCTGCCGCGAGATTACTATATGCGGTAATACACTCATCCACGTCCATCTCGAGCCGGCCAAGCATAATCGCAATCAATCTTATGATTACATTAGTAGAGGCTTACTATAAAATAGGTCTCCTCACCCGCCAGTACTTGTACCTCCAATAAGGTCAAATAGTTCGCATGGCTTCACCGGCGGAAGATTAGCAGTCTTCTTTCGTTCGTGATTTAGCCGATCCATAATGCTTTTTAATATGTAGAGCGTTGAAAGTCCTCGCACGCCGCCGCCATCTAGAGACAGTAGACATAGTCCTGTTGTATCGACTGGATTAGGCTCTCTGGCATGCTTGGTAGACATTACTTGCTGCATGGTTCGATCGATGTATGAGATTGTCGTTGCTCTTTAGATAGAAGTGAAGCGTAAAGACGAGACCGTCAGCTAAATTGATTGTCGCGCTGGCGGGCTGAGGTTGATGAGTCTTGAGTAAATGCCTCATCAGGTGACGTGCGACGCTAAAATGCTCCGGCGCTTCAAGGGAGTGCGACGGCCCGTAGCGTAATCAGGGTTCCACTAAGACCATTCGTGGGGCCGTCGATTCGTGGCATCAGTTTTCAAGTTTTTCCGGCTCCAGGTTGCCTTCTTGGCTCGCTGGCGTGTGGCTTGAAATTAACGTCTTTGGCAATCTCACACGTGATCTGGTCCCAACCAAGAGGCACTGACCGAAATTCACAATTTACGACAGTCTCACGACCATCGAAGACATGTCAGTGAACTGTGCTACTTTCTGAATCTTTCTGAACAATTGTATTCTGTCATCACTGATCCTCACTAGAGGATGACTGGTGAAAACAACTTCGCACTTCGAAACAAAATGTGCACGGCTTCCCAAAACCACTGCCCTTCCTGTTCCACTATCCACGGCGGAGTCTATTCTCAACACGTCTGACCAAGCGATGCTTACGACGGAGGCACTCGACACCGCCAACATCGTCGATGTCATTGCCGACTTATGTACGGCTTCGAGCACCTGACGCGCAGAGACACGACGTGCAGAACGCCGGACACAATACTACAAATATCCCTCGATACCATCTGGCATTTGAAGGCGGGACTGCCGTGATGAGCGCGAAAGACCACTCATTGATAACTGGCAAGAGGTGATTCATTGCTATCTCCATTCCATTGCACAGAGAATATGACAGACTAACTGTAGCATAGTAACTATTCGCGAGGCCTGCCTCATTCGACCAACAATACAATAATGATCTATAAGCCCGCCGGAACAATCTGCCCTGCATAACCTGCGCCTATATCATCCGCGCCACTGGTGCCGTCATCCGCGCCAGTTCTGGCTCTGGCTCTGGCTCTGGCTCATCTGCTTCTGGTACAGCACTCTTACGCTTCCGACTACGTATTCCCTTGCCGTTTTTTACCTCTTTCACAGCATACGCCACTTCTGGCTCTAGCTCTTGCTCACATGCCTCTAGCGCCTTACGCTTCCGACTGCGTTTTCCCTTGCCTTTTATAATGTCTTTCGCAGCACGGTCTGCTCGTGCCTTCACGATATCCTCATAGCTCATCACCTTCGCCTTCCCTACTACTGTTGACTTGGTCGAACGGCGAACTTTGGATTCGTTGGCTATTGTGATCAAGGATTGCTTTTCATCTCGGAGGAGAGCAACTTCGGCGAAGGACATTTGGGCGGCGTTAGCAAGCTTCTGTACATGCCTTTGTTGGCGCTGTGTACTAGACTGGTCCTGTTTGATAAGATTATGCAGCGACGTAAGAGCCTCTGCTGACACTGGAGTCACAGGCGAGTTTAGCACTTCGTCTTGAAGACAAGAACCCACCCCATCAGCATGTGGAATGGTTAGTTGAGAGGGGGGCTTCAGTATAGTTTTGAGCACTCTGTCTGGGTTGAATGGAAACAAACCACTTGCAGCCCATGCAGCAGTGATATTTCTCTTCGTGAACGCCTTATCCCTTGCAGGGCTGTAGAGAGATGTGAAATGCTCCTTGCCGATTGCATTTGTAACCCGATATAGTCGTTCAGCTTCGTCGCGATATGCTGCCTTTAAGGGGGCAAAGACTCCGACGTCACAGGGCTGGAGCTTGTGAGAGGTATGAGACGGGAGACGACATAAAATTATGTTGTTTTCGAAACAAAACTCCAACACTTCGAGGGTTTCGTGGGTCCCAAAGCCGTCGCAGATGAGCACCCGTGGTTTCCCGTTCGCCTGTTCTTTGGTTTGGGGATCGAACACACACGTGAGCCACTCCAAGCTAATCTTGGAGTCGGTGTATCCAGATTCGGACCATGCGTAGTGCCATCCAGGGGTAGGGAACGTGGTCCAGTTGCTTCGATGGGTAGTCGCTGGCCAAATAATCAATGGTAACAAAGACCTACCGTTTGCACTTATACACTCAATGGCAGTCACCATCGTTCGCTTGACGCCTGCGCCTCTGTAGCCCCGCGGATCGTCCTTACTTACAAGGACTTTGACAGAGCCAAGCATGCATAACATAACTCCCGTCTCGTCCATATTATACACATTTTCCGACAGAATGGTCGGATCTTTTACTACATTCTCAATCACCTCAAACCAGTTTATAACCTTATTATAGATGTTATTGTCATGACGTTTCCAGTCCATCGCCCTCAGTCTCCTTGATTTGAGTGCTGGATGACGCTTTATAAAGCCTTGAGGCCAGTTCTTGCCTGGAGGCTTGATCGCCTTATCTGTCGTAGAACGTTGGCGGGCGATACTAAATGCTAGTGAGGGTATAAACTTTATTCGCACATGATTTCCGAGATCAGATGTTAGTTTCAGATACTTTTCAAGGGCTTTCTCTTCTGACGGAGTGAGGTATAGTTGGCCTTCGGCCTTCTCTTCTTTCGAGGGTCGCCCATGGTCACGGTGGTAGACGGTAGTGAGAGGGACATCTTTACGCTTTGAAAAAGCATCGTATGTCTCTCCCGGCAAAAAGCCCTCAGTAAGAGCTTTACTGGCGCGGTCGCTCATGGCTTACTTACTGGTGAATATGAAGATAGTGACAGGAACAGTTCAGTGGCAGCTCAGCCCAGAGCGAAAGCAGTTGGTCGCTCATGGAAAGTTCCAGAAGAAGACCTACAGTTCAGCCTCGCCAACCACAACCCTCATCAGCCACACGCGGTGTGGCTGATAAGAGCCTTGCCAGATGATGACATAAGCGAGTTCACATCTCAGACGTGGGGGTCAATATACACTAACCGAAAAACCACTAGTCGCTTTGGCTTGAGGTATTAATTTCCATGGCAACCATACATGAATTTGCCCCGCACTACCACCACATGGCTGATGACGATCTCCCGCTTGGCTGTGAGGGTTTAAGAGCTCGGGTACAACCCTCTTATACGTTTTGGGAATAATAAGAGCTTAGTGGTGGAGCTATGGTGGGGGAAGTATGTTTCGCAACAAATGCAGACCATCTGCAAATCAGGCGCGACAGTGGCAGCGCAAACATAATTTTCTTAAAGGAGCCGTCTGGGGTGCTCAGGAGTAGCTATAGAATACGATTCATGCAGTAATGTAACAGATATTGATAAGTGTGTAGAATTTGAGATGTCCAAAGTCAAAGTACCTCTTATTTTTTTCGGCACAGCGGTTTTTTCGCCACTTAGGGACGGACGTTATATGACTATATCCTGATATCCCATGGCCTACATATCTCTACTCTGATTTAGCCTGTAAATGACGGATCCACAGCTTCAAAAGAGCGCATAACAGTATGGGTCGGTATCGTCGAATTGAGCAAATATCACTGCATCATTCTGGGATACCTAAGTTGTGACCAAGGTTGGGGCTTATAAGTCATGCTGAGTTGCTGCGTTAAATAGGATGACATTAGGATACGTGGTACGGAAATAAATAGCTGCCCTGCTTAACAACTGCCAATTGTGCCCCGAAAGAAATCCCTATCCCGTATAGCAAATATGTGACAGCAAATGACTGTCGCCATTTAAATTAGATTCTACGACCTAAATCGTCGGCGAGCAGGCGATAAAGGTAATCGAGTCTCCCTGCCTCCTCTTCTTGCCTGGTAAAATGGCAGGATCAAGCCGCCTCTTCCTTTCACTAGCAATACTAGCACGTACTCCATCCGAGGTTTCGACAAAGAAGATGAGTGCCTTTGCGGCAGAGAACATTGAGAGTTTGCTAGGATCCGCTGGGTACAACGCCTCTATGACAGCCTTCCTAGCTGGGGAGAATTCAGTGGCCGTAATCGGTTTCTGTAACTGCGATTCGTTCGAGGACGCGAGAATTTTCGAGGCTCGCGATTTAAACCATTCAGCCCTAAACTTGAGGTACTCTTGCCTTTTCAGGTTCTGTTTTCGCTGATGGAACTTTCTGCTGGAGTTATAAAGCTCCCTTTCAAGAGCTGTTACGTTGGTTGAGGAACGATCAGCACCTAGCAAAGCTAATTCTCGGCGAAGGAGTTGTCGAACGAGTTGTCGATTCTCATCGATGGTTTTCAAATCTCTGTCTGCCTGCATGATCTGTTCCCAGAGGTGGTCTGGTAAAGTTTGAGGTGCGCTCCGGTCTCTCAAGAGTCGCATACCTCGTACGTCGTCATCATCATCATCGTCGTCTTCATTTTTGACATGCGTTGCTCGACCTTTAAAAATCTTCACAGCCGAGTGACGTGACAGATACGCCCTAGTAAAGACCGCGGAATTGCCTTGGCCCGCAATTTGATTTCTCTGTGCAGATGATGTATTTGGATCCCCTGTTTATTTGTTACTTTCTAGACGTATAATGAGACTATGTTGTGTGACTTACCGTCTAGTTTGTTTAATCCCCCTCGACGCACATTATATGCGGTCATCCTCTGGGGCCAGCCACCCGCTTCGCAGACTCTCTTTAGTTGTTGCAGTGCTGACCCTGATGACCAAGCCAGAGTCTTTGATATGCGCTTACTTCCGCGCTTCTCCATCCTGCGGAGAATGGGCTGAGTACGAGCTGCAGCTGCAACTGGAAGGCGGATGGCGCTCGCGCCATCCGGGATGAAGCCTTCGAGATGGAATAGTTGGTGCAAGCTCGTGATATTCTCGAATGCTCGATCCATCCACCCAAGTACTAAGAACAGAAACACAACTGATGACCCTAGATCTTCCAAGTATTTTTCCTCGATGGTTAGTGTCAGACTTCTCTAAGGTTAGTATAATCCGCATTAATGGGAGTTGTTACTTGCAATTTTGAGGGATCTAGCCGTGCACCTTTCATATTATGAAATGTCACATCGAGCCTGTAACGTACACCACCCTGCTTCTTTCGAATGGCCCACACCTCTACATCCTATTGATGGTTAACTTAAGCTCTTTGATTGGTGTAGATGCTTACTTTGTAGCACAAGGCAATGTTACTATCACGGTAGCACTCAGAGCGTGTAAAAGCGCCAGGTCTTGATGCTGTAGCTCTCAAGAAGGCTTTAAAAAAAGCCCCTTGCACTCGCATGCGTTCATTGAGATAGCAATGTGTATCTTCAGTCCAGAGGTATTTCAGCATCTCGGAAACGTCTTCATCCGTTGCAAAATTCTTGTCATATGTTTTAGACGTCAGGTGCAGTTCAGCCGCTAAATCATTTTGAATGTACTAGATATTATCAGTTAGCGTCCAGTCTTCTTTCTCGTAAACCTAAGTAACTCACTTGAACAACGCCATCCTTCACGTCGTCGGGAATGTCTATGCCATGGCGATCCGCATACATGTATGAGAATCTGCCAACCCTCCATACCAAGGTGCTTATGCTTGGTCTAGGACCTAGTTTTCCTTTATGCGTTATAGCAAACCATTTGAAGTAGAGCTGAAGCACCGACAGCTCAGGGCGGATTTCTGGGTCCCCGGGTTTCTCGAGATTTGATCTGAACCTTGGTATCTTTTAATTTTGTAGTCTGTGATAGACATGGGCTAACTCACTGTTCCCAAGACTTTTCCTCGATATCATAAAGCCGCTCAGTAGCAGTTGTAACCTTTTTTTTCGCTTTCATAGGCCGTTGTACTGGCGCTGGCAAGGATGCCAAGTTGGCAAATTGGAGAGAAAGCCATTCTACATCACCAGGTATCATTGTGAAATGATCAGATAAAACAGGAATTAAAAGGGCAAACGTCTTGATTGAGGAACAAAACGATAGACGTGGTAAAATATAATGGGAACAGGAGAGAAAAGAGACAGAAAGAGAGTTCATATACTTAGCCGCAGATGGGCACAGCAAGGCCACTACACACCAGCCAAGGATACATCTAAAAGTGGAAAAACTGACTGTTGGACTTACATTCTAGGCTGAGGAAACCGTTTCGTGGATCTAGGAAAACGGGAAACGGGGACCGGTATAAAATGTATAAAGTCAAGAACCAGAAAATAGTCTCTGGTTTCCTGGAAACTGACAGCGGGAATCTCGATGTCGTTTCTCAGGCACGAATCGCGGTGAACGGGAAAACAATCCTCCGATTTCAGTAATCGAAATCACGAAAACTACAAACAGCATCCAGGAAACACGAACCCGGATGCACCAAGATTGTGGATGGTCCAAATGACCGTTAGACCATCAAAGATTGTTGACGGAAACGGGATAACGGGAAACAAGTACCAGTGCTGCTTTTTGTGAGTTTTCCGGAGCTACAGTAGTAGCCAAAAGTTGATGCCTAGCTTCAGAGTCGGGTTTCTTATTCGCTGATTGCAGAGCCTAGTTTCTCGTTGGCACAAAGGACTGTTTTTAGAATTATGCACAACACGGCTTCTTGTTTTCCATCCTCTGGTGAGAAGCCTCTACCTGCAACAACGTCTCGTGCTTCCCGTTCCCTGCGGTGGCCAAGCCCCCTTAGGCTCGGGAATGATGGGTTTATAAGCGCTTACAGAGCATGAGCTGGCTGGTCTCTGGTGATTCAACCCGCAAGTTGCTGCAACTTCCACGCTGCTTGCTCACTTAAGAACCCCATAACAAAAAGCGAAACGATTGGTGGATTCTGAAATCTGCCTAGGGCCTTTCGAAAGGCTGCATCCTGTGTCTTCGATGAAGACAACGGCTTCACGGAAACGCAAAACAGTTGGTGAATTCTGGAAATCTGCCTCGGGGCTCGCGAAAGGCCGCATCATGTATGTTACACGAAGCTGTCGCGTGCGAATCACAGGGCAAGTTGCCAAGCCGGATGATCTCTTCAGGCCGAAGCCAGCCCGTAGACTACATACAGTCGAACCTCTTTAAGACGATGTATTCCGTGCCATTATTTAGTGTCGTCTTATGAGGATATCGTGCTATTGAATACTATTTACACCACCAGTCAAGATTTGGTTCCGCCAAAAAAATCGCACTATCGAGGATATAGGCATAAGGGGTATCGTCTTAAGGAGGTTCGAGTGTAGTACGAAAGCGGACTCCTCTGCCGTTAAATCAATATACTTACTACCAACTCGTCCCTTCTTCCTCGCAAAGGCAATGGACAGGACACCTCATCTGTCTCGACGGAGCCGTCGGAGATCCCCGTCTTCAGCAAGGATCGCAAGAATCGAGAGATATACACAGCTCCTTTCGCGAATGGACTTGGTGCGGATGCAGGAGGAGATCGATGCTGAAGAAGAGAGACAATCCCGTCTAACCCCGGAGGAAAGGATGCGAGAAAATGGACAAGAGCTACAACGCCGGCTCGAGTGCGAACCCGCAATCGCCATTCTCCTTCAGCGGTCTCCGCCAGGACATATGGTACGCGCAGAATGCCGGGCAGTATCGTGCCCTATCGCGGCTATGTCGCCAAGTGACAAGGGTCGTCGCATCATGGATGTTTACAGAGCTGTCCTTGTGAGTGACGAAGACCAGTATTTCCACATATCCTGCCTAGAGAAGATGATTACGTTATCATCGCTAGCTCCGTCTCGATTTAAGCTTGATATGAACGGTTATAGGTGGCGTGACGGCTGGCCTTGGACATGGGGCCTGATGCTGCGGAAATGGTTCGAGCATAGTGGATGCATCGACCTTGCTAAGATTGCGGAGTATATTGACGCATACGACACGTTCAAAGAAGCGGACAGCGACTTTATGACCCAATGGGGTGAATGGGAGCACACTCACCGGCGCGAGTGTGCTGCAGATCTAGGATCTTGCGGATGCCCGCCTGAGCCGAAGGGACCAGTATCGCCGATGCTCGAGGGCTACAAGACGGAAAAGGCCAAGATATGCTCTATTGGTGAGGTCCTTCGCCATCCATATCTGGAAAGACTATCTGCGCAGATCCACACTTCTCTCCACGAGAGCATTTTAGTGTTTCCGGAGCAAGAACCTTGTGGAGGTGAAGCGCAAAAAGACGGCTCGAATCTCGAGCCGAGGCCCAAGGACGAGGACAACCCTTCTCCGATGAATGAGGCTAGCAAAACTGAAGAAGGAGGTGCTTGTTCACATCATGTATAAATCAGAAACTTGTCAGATACATAAAAGGTGCGGTTATTTGAGAGGTGAAAGACTCTGCAGTTGGTTTTATACTAGTAGTAGCTAACATCATATGTGACGCCACTTGTTGGGATTGAGGACGCAGATCATATGTCTGATGCACAGTCGTTAAGCGAACCTAGTATATAGAGTAGAGTAGTTTTATCGTTACATCTCTGAAGACAGGCTACAAGTTGCAGAACCCTAGAGCTGTGTCATCCTCCTCAGAAGTCATCTCGTTTAATAAGATTTCGCAACTCCCATAACCTATTCATCTGCCTTATTTAAGCGTGAATTTATAGGGAGATCAAAGCAGTTGTATACTAACAGTGCATATCGACTCAAAACGTAGGGATCTAGTTCATGTATAAGTTCGCATCACTTTTAGGTCTGTCTTAAGGCATAAGAGACCAGATTGTCCTTCGGTGAATTTACTTCAGTGTTTAAGACATCTCTATTACAAGCTGTAATTAGTACAGAATCTGACCATATTGACTATAAGCGAATGTACACTGTTGAATGTTTTTTATTGCTTTGCCTATGACTTCTTTTGCTATGAGTACGACACAAGCCTCTCTCTTGATATTTGCAAGAATGGGAGGGCGCAATAATTCCAGGCTAGCGACATTACTACAGACAGGCATCTATTCGCTATTATAGAAATCCATCCCATCCAATGCCATCGCATGTTACCATACCGCATCAATCCATCCCATCACATACAGTCAGCAGTTAGAGAATCATGAGAACCCCCCTTCCCCATCCCATCCCCATCCCATCCCCATTCCCAAGCTCTGCGCCGCCAAGAGCGCGTCAATGTTTGGCGATTAATGTTATATTATTTCTTTGGGCCAAGATCCAGGCATTCTCTCGTTCTTCTCTTCAGATTGGAACTGGAATTTAATTTGAAGGCCATGGTGAATATCATCCAGCCCAAACACAAGTCTTACGGACCATTGTCCTGTCCCGCTAAGTCCGTCGTTGGAGTGCTGAAACTGCCGGCATAGCACAAAGCTCTCTGCGCCTAATTCAATTTCTCGAGAGCGGTACTCACGGGCGTCAACAAGGCAAGACTCTAGCGTCTTTATCCAACGAGTTAAATATCCAGAGTACATCTTAGCAGCTGATTCAGCCGTCCAGAATAAAGCCTTACTATGTAAGTAGAGTAGGCTATCCCTTGCGGCACCCATTAATGGAGTGTAGCCTTGGTCATTGCGAGATGTTGGGTCTGCACCATGTTCAAGTAGTGTCCTTGCTATATCAAAAGTATCGATTCCATTCATCCAAAAACCAGGTTTTATGTCAGAACTTGTGTTAAGAAGATGGTGCAATAGGGTTGATCCAGAAGAGTCTCTGTACTTTGCCAAATGTTCCATACTCGACACTAGGCTGAAAGCTGCTGGAAAAGAGGCATTTGGAAACATCTGAGTCTGTTGAATGACAATGGACGCAATATAATCCTCTGAGTCTTTAACGTCCATTAACACATTTTCACGCTTGTATAACCACAAGAAGTCGTCAGAAGTGCCTCGAAACATGTGCAGAGCGGACGTAGACCCATTCCAATAGCCGGTATGGCCTGGCCTATAACCTTGATGCACTTCGCAACTATTGTGATCAGTCAGTATACGCATCGTCTCGCGCTTTTGACTAAGGTCTTCTTTGGGCCCAGGGCGATGTTCCTCCAGTCCTGGAAACAAGAAACAACGGTAGTAACCGGCGTATTCGGAGGCCAAGCCTAGGGCGTTCCTTGGAAAATACTGTTAGTAGGATATTTGTTTGTTGACTGAGTTGATAAGTCACTAACCACGAGATTGTACTATATTGCATCAACAACGAACTATTTGCGCCATGTTCCAAAAGCTGCTTGCACGTACTAGGATGGTGCCAAGCGGCGGCCACCTAAACCGACACGTCAGATAGGTTGGACAATAACCATAATTGAGCACAAGAGGACTGGACTCATAGCGGATAGCGAGTTTGGACTTTCTTACATGCAGAGGAGTTACCCCGTTGCTAGTCATATCAAATGCAGAAGCTCTACCTTCTCGGATGAGCCGGGCCACTGTCTGGTCGTCGCCCAAGGCACAGGCCTGAAATATGGCTGAGCTACTAGGAACGAGGTGGTAGGTTCTTATCGTTATTTTTACGTTCTCGATTTCTGGGCAAATCGCGATACTAATTGCCCATCGTAGGAACCAGTCTGCAAATCGAAACTGAATTATGGTTTCTTCTAGAGAAGTGCGAGTTTTTCCACTGCCATTTGGCACCTGGCGCACCACAAGTACGCCAATCCCTAGTTGAAAAGTTGTCTGGTTATAAGGGGCACTGATATGGCCATTTTCATTTTGGCGTATAGGCGTGGTTGACATGCGGGGTTCAGGATTTTCTGCGGTAGAAATCGATGAGATCTTTGTTTTCTGGTTTAGCCTCTCAATCTCAAAGGATCTATTTGTTGTTGTTAGCTTACAATAATTGTCAAGAGAAGTAAGCGCCTTACTGGAGATACATGAGCTGTGCAAGTGCAAGAATTGATTTTGCTCTCTCTAGCCTATTAACAAGGTCTGTAATCTTTTTTGCTTTTAGTACTGTTAGGAAGCAGTGCCACCGGGAGCGACATTTCGATTCTCCTATCTCGTTTTCTATCTCAGAGACGACGGTAAATAATTGCCTACACGCTGTTTCACAGTAAATGACAGCCTGGTCTCTAGCCACACTCTGGCTTCGGCCAATAGTGTAAAGGTGTGGACGTTCCGAAATCTGGATAAGGATAGTTGTAACCAGAGCAATCTCCTCTAAAATAGTTTTTAGTTCCTGTGGAGCATTCCGAATGTCTGTTAAAACCTGCTGCAATTTGTAAATGCTTTTAAAGATTTGGCATCCAAGGCTAGCGATTCCAGCACCACTTCCCAATATGCCTACAACCTCAGCCATCAGAGCCCAATTGTAGGTATCTTGTTGTTTATCTGTTATTAATTATCGTAATGAGGGCTGGGAAGTCATTTAAAGGTGTAAAGTTGGGCAGCTACGCATTTAAGGAATCTATCATCACGCCACTGTGAAATAACTTAATAAGTGTGTTATAAAGTTACCGGTTTAGCGCAAGGCTCTTTGAAAATGGCGAGGGCGAATCATGGCCAAACAATTCTGCATGAATTGCGCCTCGGTTCGCCTTGCATTACTTGTATGTCTGCCTTGTAGAAATGGTTGGGTATTTATCTAGTCGTACCATCCCTGTCACTTTATGACTCGAGGCACGAGAGATAATGATGACCTCTGCAGAAGGTTGAGAGGAGTCTGGGAAGATAGCTCTCAAAGGTGCTCAAAAGCTTCAAAAGCTTCAACTACTCTGATTCCTGGAAAATGCGGTTGGGAAATTTGATGTCGTTATTTAGGCACCATTTGTGGTAAACGGGGAAAGTCAACGCCGCCCTTATTTCCCGTTCTTTGTAACTGGCCAGGGTCCCTGCACTTGAAAATGAGCAAGGTCTCGAGGGCGTACAAACGAGAGATAGTTGGCTGATTCTGATGTCTGCCTTAGAAGCTGCATGAAATCTGTTTCTTGTATATGCACCGAACGTGCAAGAGGTAAGTTCGGAGCTTACGCCACAGAGCGGGACAGCGGAGAACAGGTCCCTGTTTCACTGTTCTACTGTAACCAAAATGCGCTTCTCCTATACGTTTAACCAGCCTCCACCAGTCCGTTTGCATTTAGGCAGGTTCGGCCTTTGCCTCTTATAAAGCGCACCTAAATTTCGTTCAGAAACCTTAGCAATCAGCCAACTCCTTCAGTAGAATTCTGCCTATACTAATTATGTCCTGCTTCATATACCGGTCACTGACTCCAGATAAGAAGACAATCCGTGTTGTTCATGTTTTACCTGGAAAGCCTTATATCTCCTCAATCAACCATGTCTTCTGTAACGTTTCTCATGTCTCACTCGACAATCCCCCCCCGTATATCGCACTTTCGTATAACTGGGGAGATACAACTCCGAGAAGTTCAATTTACGTTAACGGGGCGATTTTAATGGTTACAGAGAACCTTGAAAACGCACTTCGGCATGTAAGGCTACCAGACAAAACGATTACTCTGTGGGTAGATGCTCTGTGTATCAATCAAAGTGATGAGTTAGAGAAGAGTGAGCAAGTGGGACAAATGCACGAGATATATTCGCGAGCTGCTTCAGTTCTGGCTTGGTTAGGTCCAGCCGCAGGGTATAGTGACATCGCCATGGCATGGATCGCAGAGTTTGGGGCACGTTCTGTTGAACTAGGCATTGGGACGAAGCCTAATCTGCGACTCCGCTATCTCTGCCAAGCAGACGAGAAAGACTTCTCGAGCAGTGAGGGGGCCGTCAAGCAATTTATCAAGGATCTGAAGGCCCAACTGTCGCCAACACATCCGCAATATAGTAAGGTCATTTCTGCGCTATCTGACTTCTTCAAACGCGACTACTGGGGCCGCATATGGGTGGTTCAAGAGCTGAGCACTACAGCAAAGACATTGTTCGTATGTGGCGAGAAAATTGTCACAGAGAATGAACTTCACTACGGCTTGAGGGTGTTGAGAAACTTTAGACATTATCGGCTCCTAACATCAAGTCACGATGCACAACTTAGGCCATATGACGAGTCTATTATTTCAATTGATACACGGAACGCAATTGAACTGCTTAAAGTTAGAAGAGCAGCTAGACCAGTGCCGCTCATTCGTCTTCTGCGAAGTCTTCGACAAGATAAAGCAACCGATCCTCGGGACAAAGTCTTTGCATTAGTGGGCATCGCTGAAGACAGACAAGTGCTCAATCTTCGTCCCAACTATAGCAAGTCGTGTGCTGAAGTTTATATCAATACTGCGCACACCCTTTTTCAGGCCGGATACATCGAAATTCTCTCTCTTTGCGAGTCCCTACAGAGGATACCTGAGCTTCCATCGTGGGTTCCTGACTGGTCACGCGAGACTTACCGTTGTCCTCTACAACGACGTACGCTTAATAGAGACACAAATTACCCTACAACTCTCCTGCAACCTCGTTTCTCAGCATCAGGTACCCATAATTTCATAATAGGCCAAGCTTCAGGCTGCAACGAAGGTGATAATAAGACGTTGTCTCTTTCTGGGACTTTCGTAGGTGAAGTGCAATCAGTCGGCGCGATTTGGGAACATGAAGGTGTAACCAGGTGGTTGTGTGATTTGAACAACCTATCGCAACTATCATCTAGAGCAGTTGAAGGTTCTAAGCAAGCGCAAGTTACCTGGCGTACCGCCGTTGCAGACCAAGAGATATGGCACGGGACAGAGAAACCTCGACTTTCGGAAAGCACGATTCGTAAAGTGCATGAGTTCTTGACAAATAGAGATCTGGGCCACTTAGACTCACAAACTTTCACGGAAGCAGGTTTGGGTGACTATAACCAGCAGCTTCAAGAGATTGCTCGTGGCCGGCGACCGATGCTTGCATCTGGTGGCTATATTGGCATTGTACCTTCCGAGACAAAACCTGGAGACTCTGTCTTTGTCATTTCCAACGCCGATGTCCCATACATCTTTCGGCAACAACCCCAGGGTAATATGCTGCAGCTTATTGGGGACGCATATGTGCACGGGATTATGGATGGTGAAGCATTAGAGGGTTCCGCACTTATCCAGACAATTAAAATAGGATAGAAGCACTAGATTGTTACAGCACCTCTGCTCAAAGCACTTTGCTTGACTGCGGTTGTAGCAGCAGGTTTTAGGGGTTAATAAGTCTATAGGTAGCTAGCATAAAAGGGGTGCCGCTCCGGAACGGTACCGCTCGAGAAAGACATCCCTAAACAAGAAGTGCTACTTTGAAAGACATTTGTACAGAGAAGCACCTTATTAAGTGTGGTACCTCTTATTAGCACAAATGTGGTAGATCTGTAGGATCTGTGGGAACTGTTGTAGTTCTAACAGTTCCTCGCAGTTCTCTTTAGCACAACGCCTCTATATAAGTAGATATTATTTTTCAGCAGATAGAAGCTTTCTGCTCAACTCAATATAGTATGTGTCATATACTGTAACGTCTTACTTGAAGCATTTGTGTCTGATCCCTGCCTTATTTAGCTAACATTTCACACCTTTGCGTGTCTATATGTTTGGACGCAGCGTTACACTACTATACACTAGCTAAGGGTGCATTAAAAAATAGGGGAAAGGATTGTTAAATTTACATTTTAGATTCAGGAAACAGTTTCGTGAATTTGGGAAACAGCAATAGTATAAAGTAAGGCACTATTTGTAGCAAGCGGGAAATAATACTCCGATTTTGGGACCCGAAATCACAAACCCCAAAAGCAGCATCTAGGAAACACGAACCCGGATGCACCAAGATTGTGGATGGTCCAAATGACCGTTAGAACATCAAAGAATTGTTGACGGGAAATGTATAATGGGGACTAAGAACCAGCGCTGCTTTTTGTCAGTTTTTCTAGAGCTAGTAACCTAAAAGTTGATGTCTGGCTTCGGAGTCGGGTTTTGCCATTCTCTGCTTACTAAGCCTAGTTTCTCGTTTGCACAAAAGACTGTTTTTAGAACTATGCACAACACGGCTTCTCGCTTTCCGTCACTGTGGGTGGTCACCAATGCCAACAAGATACCAAGTAGTCGTGATCCTCGAAACCATACATATATTTTCAGGTTCGAACGAATACACTGAGATTATTAAGCCATATGGCGCAGTGTAACTATCTTTAGGCCCAAAAATCTGTGCCTCCAGTGGTGCCTCGGGCTTCAGCAGCGTCATACAGATTCTGAATATCCGTCTTCCACTACTTGACGTCCGTCCTAAGGATTCTACAATCATACGTCAAGAGCCCATTGACCTCGCCTTCAAGATCGGTAGCCTGTGTCCATGCTCCACCATTGCAAGAAAACATCCTGGCTACAATCATTCCAGGGGGGGAAACAGTAAGAGCATCCATCTACCCTCGGAGGATCTAGCTCTCTAACTTTAAAAGAGCAAGTTGGTGTATAAAACCTCTGCCCCCCTTTGCAAATTAGGCAACGGCTTCCGGAATTAAAGTTAGAGAGCCTAGAGAGCTTTTTAGTAACAAGAGATGCAACTCTTAAACTTGGTGGGTTTTTGGACTTGGGGCGGATCCGATTCATCGGATCCGATTTGTTTAGCCGATCAGCCAAGCTACCTAGCATTAGAGAGTAGTGTCAACTTATGAGTGAGACAAGAGTAAGCCGCCGCCATGCGCCTTGTTAGTTCCGCAAGTAAACATGTGAGTGTTACGGATCAGTCCTGTATCTCCCTCGTAAACACTCCTATAGTGCCAAGAGAGCCGCCTGAAAGGACGGATCCGAGGATGCAGGGGGAGCCACTATTTCTACTATCATTAAGCTAGAGGTTCGATCTCAACTAGCGTAAGGTTGGCTATTTTGTATTTAGGCCTACAAACTAAGAACTTGACACTACCATTCTATTGACCTCGCCAGAGACTCGATAGTATAAAACACGGCGTCAGGCCTGATCAACCTTATGGGCACCGCCTTTAAAACGACATCATATCATTGACTCCACACGAGACTATATTAATGGAAGTATCCAGACCTCTTCCGCGGACCGTTGTCGTCATCGGTGCCGGTGCTCAGGGCCGGCGGCTGGCTTACATGGTAAGCACTATGGGCGTGTCGCCGTAATAAATTCGCTGGTACACCGACGCTAACGTGCGAATGCCTCAAAGTGGTCAAGCAGAGGTAGTCCTGTTCACTTAGTCGACCTAGAGGAACGAAAACAGCAAGAAGCTCTACTGTATATCCAGCAACTTCGTGCTAAATCAACTAGCGATGACTCAAACTGGGGGGAGATCATGGCATCAACACCGAACTCGTTAGAGTCCTGGTTAAAAGACTCATGGTTAGTTGTTGAGGTATGACCTAGCTCTGGGAGGAGAGAGAGCAAATGCCTAACAATATATACTGGGAATAGTGTGTGCCGGAGAACTTGGCATTAAAGCGAAAAATAATCATTCAGCTTGATAAACTTGCTCCTGAAGGCACAATTATTGCATCTAATTCCAGCAGCTACGGAATTTCAGAGATCTTGGATGGGGTAAATTTGCGTCATAAGAAGAGGGCATTAAGCGCACACTGTTGTAGGTGGCCTTTTCTAACATAATTCTAAGGGCAGTGCTAATTAGGAGAAATTATTAGACTGGCCGCCAGAGACCACAGGTATGCATTTATGCTGTATATTGCATTATACGATCTTGTTTCATTAAACTTCCTTTGCTAGCAATTGAAATTATGGGCCACAACGAAACAGATCCTTCACTCATCGCTCTGCTCTTAGAGCAATGTAAGGCTCATGGATTTTCACCATTCCATGTTAAACAAAGCTCCATAGGCTATATATACAACAGGTACGCCCCTATGTATTCTTGCAATCGCGACCAAAGGCTGAATTGCGCCATGGTCTAGGATTTGGGCCGCCATCAAACGTGAAACTCTTCTCGCTCTCTCCGAGGGCGTTGGATCGCCACAAGAGATCGATGCCATTTTCAAAGATGTCTTGAAGACGCCAAAGGGGCCGTGTGAGCTCATGGATATTGTTGGATTAGATGTCGTGCTAGACATTGAAAATCATTATGCAGACTCACGGATCGGCATCCCTCCAGAGCCACGAGATTATGTCCAAAAAATGATCCAGAACGGTCATTTAGGAATAAAAAGTGGACGGGGTTTTTACAATTATACAGGGACTCTCGACGAGAAGCATAGACTTTGATTTGTTAAATATAGCCTTGCTGTATTCCTACATGCACCGCGCTCGTTTACTGCGAAAAGGGCATATTTATAGTGTTCGTATAATTGTTACATGAGAATATTCCGAAAGATTGTTGCCTTGGTTCTGCTCAATTAGGCTAGAACGCGGGGTTGGATGGCGCCCTCATCGACGTTAGTCCTCTGTGTCCAGTTTGCGGATCAAACCAAGCTGCTATTAAGACCAAACACTTGCACTGCCTTCCAAACCAACTATTGCTATACATCCAGCTCCATTGTCATGAATGCTGGTCTGATTCACCGTCGCAAGCAATTTTCGAGTTGCGATGCATGTCGAAAATCTCGTGTGGCATGTGACGCAGTACGAGGACGTTCAGCCACAGGTCTGGCCGCATGCACGAGGTGCGCAAACCGCAATCGACGTTGTAGCTTTGAGGTAGGAGACCATCTGCGGGTTAATTCCATTTTGTCTTTCCCCCTAATGACGACTTTGACCAACATGTTAACGTGCAAATTGAGCTTCAGTGGATGGAGAGAGCCGCAGTTTCGTCAAATAATCGGACTTTGATTTCTAATCGCAGGGATCAGCGTCCATCACCGCTAACAGATTCTTCACCTATCCAAGTTGTTGAAGGGAGCCTGATTCCTAGACAACAAAATTCTATGCTTGGGTCTCCTTCTGAGAGGTAAATTAATCGACTCTTAATGATTGCAGTCGTAACCTTGCTAACAATACGAGACCTAGAGAGGAAGAAGATGCCTCCGACGACAACTGGTACGGATCTCCTACACCATTTACGCCCGCACCAGCTGTGAACACAGATATAGCGGACTGGCTATATACTATGTATGAAGATGTTTTTGAGGCGGTCTTCGGTTCCTGGTTAGGGAATTATAGTTGTCCATTTGTGTAAGTAGGGAGGATATCTCCGCCTTTGAGGGAAGGCTAATGACGTGTCAGTTTTGGGGAGCATAGGCACTTGGAAAATGGTTCTAGCGAGCGGACACCGCTTGCATTGTCCATTAGTATTTCTTCTCTTTGTAGGCAATTCGATCAATGGATGAAGGATTTAGAAGCTCAAGGGAATGACGTTGCTAGTGACCAGGCCCCAACTCAAGCCGAGGTTAAGAAGGAGCAGCAAATTGATCACTGTCTGAATCAAGCAATTCAAACATTTTCCGCTCGATGGTTACCTCTAACGTTTGAGTCACCATTGCACAAGGCGGCACAGACTGAGCTGATCGAGAGTCTCTGGCGAGGCCTACGGAAGGACCTGATAAAAATTATCAATCGGCCATGCTATCGGTCGATGCTGTGTCTGTTTCTTTTTGCTATGGTCCCGATACCAGCAGGAATATCAGAAGAGGAGGAAGATAGCGGCATTCCAGCTCAGTTCTGTGTCCAAGCTGCTCTACAACATGTACAGCACCTACGTGCCCGACAAAGGAGCCTTGAGTTCAACGGCTCGAAGGTCTGCCCAATTTCAGACCGGGTAGCAATTATGACTAGTCTGGATCAGTTCCAGATTGATTTTATGAGTATGGAGAGCATTATTTATTGGGCCGCGCTTACTTATGATACTTCTTCTTCACTGACCTTCAACACTAAATCTTTACTTTCGTCAGGGCTTCTGGGGTGGGAGTCAGAATCATCATGGCGCCTAGTTAAGACGTGCACAGATATTTTCCACAACCAGACAGAGGACTGGCGACTTCGTGGGGTAATTGTTACAGAAGAAAACGCCAACCGAATCATCGCAGCCGCATCAGCATGGAAACTACGTGTTTGGAAGGTGGCTGCTGTTTTGAAGGAAGCCCTTCGAGAAGGTCACGAGGAAGATGCCGTTCACCGTGTATATACGAGCGCTGTCGATGCGATAAAGCAGTTCAATATGACCTATCGCCCCCTCCTGGTAGCTTGCGAGAGACGCATTCAGTTTCTTTCTCAGCATACAAAGCTTCGCTGGTGTGAGTTCTTCCCTACTACACAGCTCTTTGCATCAAGATCATCTGTCACAGGATAATTGTACTAACTCTTGCTGTCCAACTGAAGACGAAGTGATGTTACATTACCATCTGTGCATTTTAATCATGATTGACGCCATTGAAACTGCAGGACGGACAGATATATTAGATCGGCTGATAATTACACGATCGGAAGCTGAAGGCAGTACTATGAACTGCCTGGTGTTCGGGCTTAGCAATCATTTTGTTATACCTCAGCGAAAGGGGGAGACGGAAGACAGCTTTGTCACAGTTCCACTCGTTGCAATTGATCCCTATCCCCATCACGTAGTCGCAGCCGTACGACTTCTGTGGCTGGGGATTGAGCGAGACTATGAAACTGGCAAACTGGACCTCGGTACCTTAGAGAATCTCCAGTCGACCTTGCTTCGGACCCTAGATCTGCTCCCACAAACTTCAAAATCAGTCAGAAATGCAAAGGAACAGGCTCGACTATCAGTTATACATAGGGAAATTCCTGGTTCAGAGCTGTAGATAGTTTGTACTTCTCCTAGTAGAAGATCTAAGCGTAGGACTTCGTAGGCTAGGAATCATGACCGAATCGAACACTTGGATATTGGAAAAGGCCCCCCGCTGTGATGAACAGATCCCGGCGAAAAGAAACAAAGCCTGATCATTCGAGTCTCTCTTTGTCCACTATAGAGCAATCACCGTGTTAGCCTCGTTAGCGAGAATTTTAAACAGAAAGGAGACAGAACGGAGTTAATCCAGAGGTGGACTACCTACCTCAAAGCTATGGCGCTTATTACGGTTTGCACACCTTGGGCACACTACTAGAACTGGTAATATCTGTGCTTGAATGCCCTCGCACAGGTCACATGCCGCTCAAGATTGCCGGCATGCATCGCAACTGGAGCGAGTTGCTTGCCACAGTGGATCTAGTTGGCATCCATGGTAGCGGGGTTAGACGTAGAGTGGGGGGGCCATCTGAAAGCGCTATACTGGTTGAGTCGGATCCTTATTAATGGTTGAAGTCGGATCCGATCCGTACTATTTGTGTAGAACGATCTTCCAATTATCGGATCCGAG